ATACATATGCTTTCATTTATTTTGGTAGAGTCCAAGAAGTATAATTTCTGAATCATATGGTAAGTTTATATATTAATTTTTAAGAAACTGTAAATCTGTTTGTCAAAGTGGCTGTAATCATTTTACACTTCCGCAAGCAATGTTTTACGGCTCAGTTTCTCCACATGCTTATCGACACTTTGTATTTTCCCTTTTTTTTCTTTCCTTTCCTTTCCTTTTCTTTTTCTCTTTCTCTTTTTTTTTCTCTCTCTCTCTTATTTATAGCCATTCTAATGAGTGGATAATGACATTTTTATTTCTTAATTTTAATTTTATTTTCCTAATGCTCATCTTTGCTTGTGCCTATTAGTCATTTTTGTATATGTTTTGGTGGATATCTATTCAAATATTTTGTCCATTTTTAATTGGATTGTTTGTCTCTTTATTGAGTTGTAGGAGTTCTTTATATTTTTTGTATGAGTTTTTAATGCAAACATTTTCTCCCAGTCTCTTTTCTCTATTCTTATTTTCTTAATGGTGACTTTTAAATTGTACCATTTTTGTTTAAAATCTGATATTGATCATTTTATTTAATGGCTCAAACTTTTAGTGTGGTATCTAATAATGTTTTGCCTAACCCAAGGTCTTAAAATCTCCAACATTTTTTTCTAGAAATTTTTAATTTTTAGCTCTTACATTTAGGTCTGTAATCCATTTTGAGCAACATTTGTTGAAAAGTCTATCCTTTCTCTCATTTAATTTTCTTGACACCTTTGTTACAAATCAATTGGCTATAATGTAAGTATTTAAATCTGAACTCTCCAATTTGTTCTATTAATCTATATGACTATCCTTATACTATGTGTCTCAATTGCACTGACTTAATGTTAAGCTTTGAATCCTGGTAGTGTAAGTACTCCAAATTGTTTCTTCTATTCCAAAATTGTAAGTCTTTTGCATTTCCTTATAAATTGTAGAATGAGTGTCAGGTTTTACAGAAAAAAAATGATCTGTTGATATTACATTGAATTTATAGATCCATTAAGGGAAAACAGCCATTCCAATGCTATTGAGTCTTCTAATACATTTACATATAATGTCTCTCCACTTATTTATATCTTTTAAAATATTTCTCAGCAATGCTTTGTAGACATCAGTGTCTTGGGTGTGTGTGTGTGTGTGTGTGTGTGTGTGTGTGTGTGTAATTGTTTTAACATTATACTTGTAGCAAGGATTATTGTCAAACTCTACTCAGTAGGCCAAAGACCCTTGTGGTGGTAGTGAAAAATTTGACCCTCACATAGCACACTACCCACACTTACAAGTTTATCAGCCAGTTAGGGCTCCAGCCCCAAGCTCTAATAACGTGCAATCTCCAATTGTTTTCACATATTGCAATCTTCTTTCTGCATCATCGATGGCATGTTTCATAAAGGACTTTTTTTAATATTTTAATTTTTTGGTAAAACCAGCTTAATTTCCATTTCTTTATAAGAAATCCACATTTTCTGCCTGAAAGCTTGTACTTTTTTAAAAACATATTTAAGTCAAATATTTTATGCTTGTTCTCATCATCCTGATTTTACCTGGACTACAATGAGCCCTTTCGTCCTCCATGCACTGGAGTCTTTCCTTTGGAACAGTCATTTTTATTCTATTTATTTTTGTTTACTTTACCTGAGACCCTAATTATCTGTATGTTGGCTTTTCATTTTGTGACCTTCCCAAATACAATTTTCTCACTATTTTATTTTCACTGTATTTTTTCCGTGCATTATGAGAGAATTTTTCAAATGCATTCTCCAAATTGAACTAACCTGGTTACTGTCCCTTGACTCTGTTTTTGATTATGTCCAATGTGTACTTTAATTCTATTTTTGTAGTATTTTATTATTTTGACTTTTTGTCCAGCATGTTCTTTGTTTTCCCATAATACTATAGGATGCTATTACCTACATTACCTTAAGGATGTTTTCTTGTTAGTTCTGCAGAAGTTTTTATATCTATGACACTGACAACTGAGTCACTGTGATGTGATAGGTAATATGCTACATGATTTACAGACATTATTACATTTCTTTATATATGCTCATCTCTGGATTTTTCAGATGCTGTTCCTTTATTCATGAAATATTTTAAAGATTCATGCTAGTATTTTTTTCTTTATATACCCTCTAGTGCAAAACAAGATCTCTTCAGTCTTTATTTTTTTTCTTAAAAAAATCTATGTATGGGGCTTGCTCATTGTTGCTGTCCCAATAAGCATTATTATATGGAATGCAGTTTCTGGTATAAGTCCCAGTTTCTAGCAGCCTGTGGATAACATTCAACCAATACTGTATAGTTCTTTGCCAGCTTAAAATCATAGGGGAAATTTATAAACCTAAATTCCCAAAATATGCTGTTTTATTTCACTCCCTTCTGTACATGGGCTAATACTAATTTCAAAATTCAATGTTTCTCTACCAATGACACCTCTTAGACCATTATTTTTGGCTATTTTTCTTGAGATGAAATGTCCAATACAAGAATAAAGTCCTTGCTACTTTATAGTTAAACATCCTACAAAAATAAATGCCCGGTTCTCACGTTTTTATCTTAGTACAGACTGCATTCCTTAGTAAAGACTATGGAGATATATAAATTGTGGGCCTATATTTTGACTTTATATCTGTCCACATCCATTTCCATTTCCATCAGTTTGGAGAAGTTAACCATTCCCAAATTTTCTGGATTTAGGATATCCATCAGTTTTAGTAACAATGCTGCTTTTGTTTAATTTTTTATTTACATTGAAAATTTAATAGAAAGTTAGGAGAGACTCTTTCAGATAGTGCCAATTAAAATCACTTTAAAATGCAAGTCTACTTTACATCTTAGAAAAAACTTATAGCAACATGGTGTGTGAACTAGAAAAGTCAAATAAAAACAGAAATTAGTGATCAACAGATGAAAGCTGAGAGTAAAGGCAGATTTCTGAATTAGGCAATTTCATATATAAAGCTACCACAGATTTATACATCTACTATAGATCTATAGCACTACCATAGAGCTATTAATCAAAGTGGGAAAAATAAAATATACAAGTAGTCATTCTGTGACGAAGATTGAATTTAAATGCACTCATACTCTGTTTGAGCTTGCTTTGAGATATTTAAGGTGGAAGAATCTAAGAGTTAGGCACGTGGCTCTAATATTCAGGAGATTAGTGTGAGAAGAAGATGAAAAAGATGAAAACTTTAAAGTAGAAAAGTGGATATATAAAAGCCATTGTCCATGGAATGCATGTTGTTGAAAGTATACAGATAAAGACATGTTTGGAGAAATAGCCAAACTAATTTTCATCTACAGCTATATGTAAGTAGTAGTCAATCAGATGATAAATCTTGTGTAAAAATGGGCATACTTAGTGAGAATAAACTTGAATGGTTTGTAAAAGTAGTGGAAATCATAAAAACATAAAAGTATATTTTGAATAATTTTTTCATTTTATAATAAATATGCCGTTTCCACAATGGATTAATTTGATTTATAGCATCCAATATTATCTTAAGTATTTACTATTTGCAAAAAAATGTTTTAGTAATATAATTATGTATCATATAATATGTAGACAATCCTGAAATAAAATTGTTTCCAGTCTGAACCATAGAAATTTTAAATAATAAGAAATTTTCAAAGATAGTCATCTATTCCACATTTACCTTATTTATTAATAATTATTAACTGAAGAAGGGTTATGTTATAATTATCATAATTATTATTGTGATTAGACAGTGTAATATCATTGTTAATAGCACAGGCTCTAGCATCTTTTTCTTTTTCTCTGATTTCCGATATCATATCTTTCAGTTTTTATAAACTTTGGCAATTTATCTGCTTTCAAACTTCATTTTATGCATCTGCAATAAAAATACCCCTCTTTTAGGTTTGTCACAAGACTCAAATGAATAATTAGAGCACAGTATGGAAATGGTCTTATCATTAACACAATATTATTTATCTGAGTAATCCGATAACAGAACAAAGGTCAGATGAAAGACCAGAGCATACATGTTACAAAAGAAGCTCATTATTTGCCTCACTCATTTTTTATCACAACAGAAGCAGGTTTCATAATCATAAACAGGGTGGTATTTTAATGTTACAAACTAAAAAGAATATCAAGCTTCAGGTTCTTAGGAACTGAAACATCCCTTTCCTATTAAACATATATAATGAAACAAGATGAATGGGCATTACCTGGGGTGAATTCTTAGGTAAATGTAGTTACTGAAAAGAGATGTTTTCCTGCTTACTAAATGAATTAAATGAAATTTGGTATCTAAGTTAATAATTCTAAAATTCCAAATCATGATTAGTCAATTATTATTCTATACCAAGGCCTAATCACAGTTAAATAGAATATTTCAGGAAGAGCAAATAAAGGTAAATCAATTGACAAATGCATACTGAATATCTATTATGAGCAAGCAACTCCACTAAACATGGATTAGCCCAAAATATCCCTTATTCTCATAATCCAGTTGAAGGATAAAAATTTAATTAAAATGATGAGGGTACAAGATAATAAGTGGTAAATATCAAATAAATCTATTTAAATAAATTGAAGTTAAATTGAAATTAATTAAATATCTTAGTTCAGTGATTAATCTCACAGACAAAATACTGAATGAAAGAAGTTAAACACAAACAGTATGTAATACATGATTCTATTTATATAAAAATCAAGTATAGGGAGAGATAATTATGGTAATAAAAGTCAGAATAATGATTACTATTTGAGAGGACACTGATGAGGATGTGGCATTAAGGGGACTTCTGTTTCCTGATAATGTTCAATCAGTTGATCCTGGACGTGGTTACACAGCTACATGTGGATGTCAAACTTCCTTGACTCTGAAGCTTTACTCTTGTAAATTACAAGTTTTTCCTTGTACTCTGAAGTTTTATGCATTTTATGGACTGTATATTAAACTTCAACTAAAATAATTTTCAAATTCTAAATTTAGGAAGTCAAGATCCTACAAGAGAATTCTGCTCCCAAAAGCCATAATGCCAGTATTCCATAATTCCACTTCTCCTACTTTCTTCTTGACGGGGGTCCCTGGACTTGAATGGGCCCATGTCTGGATCTCCATCCCCATCTGCTGCCTCTATTTAACTGCCCTTTCTGGGAATACCCTGATCCTTTTTGTCATCCTCACTGAGCCAAGCCTCCATGAGCCCATGTACTATTTCCTCTCCATGTTGTCCACCACTGACATTGGCTTATGCATCTCTACACTGGTGACAGTGCTGAGAATATTGTGGATCAATGCTCAGGAGATCAGCTTCAATGCTTGTTTATCACAGATGTTCTTCATTCACCTCTTCACTTTCATGGAATCTTCAGTGCTCCTGGCTATGGCCTTTGATCGTTTTGTGGCCATTTCTAACCCCTTAAGATATGTTACCATTCTAACTCATGCAAGAATCGCACAGATTGGTTTGGCAGTCATTACCAGGGGGACTGTCATCTTGACACCTCTAATCATACTTCTTAAGCAACTGTCATTCTGCCGCAGCCACGTGCTCCGCCACTCTTACTGTTTCCACCCTGATGTGATGAAACTCTCATGTTCAGACACAAAGATCAACAGTGCGTTAGGATTAACTGCAATCATCTCTACTGCCGGAGTGGACTCCATCTTTATTGTGCTCTCCTATCTGCTGATCATTCGCTCAGTTCTCAGCATTGCATCCACAGAGGAGAGGAAGAAGGCCTTCAGCACCTGCATTTCTCATATCACTGCTGTTGGCATATTCTATGTCCCTTTGATCAGCCTGTCCTTTGTTCACAGATTTGGAAAACATGCCCCACCCTATGTGCCCACCCTCATTGCTAACGTATACTTGCTCATCCCCCCTGTGATGAATCCCATCATCTACAGTGTGAAAACAAAGCAGATTCAGAAAGCTGTGCTCAAATTTGTATGTTCCAAGGGAATTCATATTTAACATGTACTACTCCTAAAGACTTATTTCACAGTCTAGAAAATTTACCACAAGCTGGAGTTACAAACCCATGCATGCAATTTTAGAGTTGCGTGAAACTGAATGCCATCCAATTCAAATGTCTCCACAATGTGATTATCATTGCTAAGCAATCTATTTTCTACCATCAAGATACTCATTGAGATTCTCACTATCTTAGTTACCTGGTTCCAACTGATGACTGAACTAATGTTTCTATGCTGTTTCTGCTCAATGATCACATCATTCACTTTGAATCAAGATTCCAAATATCCAGGCCTAAGAAAAATTTTAAATGAACAAATACATGCATCTTCTATGTTTATTTTTCATGCACCAACTAAATGAAGCAGCACATCCTGTCTATGGTAATTTCCTCCACAATTCAGGCTTAGCTTTTCTTTAAATTTTCATTCACTTTTTTTCTCTTTTCCCATACTCTGCAGTGTAAAAATGCCAGTCTGCTTACGACTTCTTCAAATGCATGCAGTTTTTTCATGGTGGGCTTTACCGTTGGCTCCACTTCAACACCCACTTCACCTTGAAATTCTACTTATGTTTCAAGATTCATCTTTAAACATCTTCCTCATTAAACATTTTATGATTGCTCAAGTGATATTTGTTCTGTCCTTATAATTTTCCTTTCATATTGCTTTGTTCATGACAGTTTTGCCTTTATATGTGTGCACATCTGTGTGTATATCATTATAGCTTTCACAAGACTGTACATTTCCTAAATAAAAAGTCTTGATTTTATTTGAAGCTTCCATAACACTCAGCAGAACACCTTTCACATAGCAGATATTTATTAATAGTTGTTGAATTGAACTATACATAAAAACCTATCAAATAGTCTATCTAAAAATTCCAGCGATAACTCCTTTGATTCAATATCTGACATGTGTAACACAAGAAATTTTCAACTGTGTAAAATTTTTTTGCCGATATTACCTGGTAACTGGTCATAGTTCTAACTTTCCAAACTACATAGTTGAATGGCTATTTTGGAAGTTTCAGTCTCAGAAAATTGTCTCGGTTTGGACCCACATCCAATAAACATGTACTTCTTGTCTATTCTTTTAAAAAAAATAGATTTGGGATGCAAAGTTTTGTTACATGGATATATTGCATAGTAGAAGTCTGGACTTTTAGTATAGCCATCATCCAAATAGAGTACACTATACTCATCAAATATTTCTCCTCTCTTACCCCACTTCTACCCTCCTATGCTTCGCAGTCACCAATGCCTATCATTCCACTCTAAATGTCCATAGGTGCACATTATTTAGCTCTTACTTGTAAGTGAGAATATGCAGTATCTTACTTTTTGAGTTATGTCACTTAAGATAATGTCCTCTAGATCCATCCACGTTACTGCAAAAGACATCTCTTCATTCTTTTTTATGACTGAGTACGATTCTATGCTATCTTCCCTACTGACCACATTTTCTTTATCCAGTCATCCAGTGATAGACATTTAAGATTGATTCCATATTTTTGCTATTGTTAAGAGTACTGTAATAAACATATGAATACAGATATATATGTATGTGTGTATGTATGTATGTATGTATGTATATATATAATAATTTATTTCCCTATGGGCAGCTACTCAATAGTGGAATTTCCAGCTCAAATATTAGTTCAATTTTTAGTTCCTTGAGAAATCTCCTCAGAGTTTTCCATAGAGGTTCCAGGAATTTACATTGCCACCAACAGTGTGTAAGTTTTCTCTTTTCCCCACATCTTCACTAACATCTGTTATTTTTGACTTTTTAATAATAGCCCTTCTGATTTGTATCTCATTGTGGTTTTAATTTACACTTCTCTATGATTAGTGGTGTTGAGCAATTTTAAGAAGCTTGTTGGCCATTTGTATGTCTTCTTTAGAAACTGTCTATTAATGTCCTTTGTCCACTTTTTAATAGTTATTTGCTATTTGTTGTTGTTGAGCTGTTTGAATTCCTTGTAGATTTTGAATATTAGTCATTTGTTAGATGCATAATTAGAAAATATTTTCTCCCCTTCTGCAAGTTATCTGTTTACTCTATTGATTATTCCTTTTGCTGAGCAGAAGCTTCATAGTTTAATTAAGTCCCATTTATCTTTGTTTTTGTTGACTTGCTTTTGAGGTCTTAGTCATGAACTCCTTGCCAAGGCTAATGTCCAGAAAAGTTTTTCCTAGCTTTTCTTCTAGTGTTTCTATGGCTTCAGGTCTTACACTTGAGTCTTCAATCAATCTTGAGTTAAATTTTGTATATGGTGAGAGATAGGGGTCCAGGTTCATTCTGCATATGGCAATCCAGTTTTCCCAGCCCCGTTTATTTAATAGGGTTTCTGTCCTTTTCCAAGTGTATGCTTTTGTTAACATTGTCACAGATAAGCTGGCTGTAGATATGTGGCTTTATTTCTGTGTTCTCTACTCTGTTTCATTGGTCTATATGTCTTATACCAGTAGCACACTCTTTTGCTTACTATAGCCTTGTAGTACAATTTCAAGTCAAGTAATGTGATGCCTGCAGCTTTGTTCTTTTGGCTTAGGATTGTTTTGGCTATTCAGGCTCTTTTTTTCCATAAGAATTTTAGATTTTTTTATTCTGTGAAAACTCGTTTTGGTAATTTGTTAGGTATTACATTGAATCCACAGATTGCTTTGGCAGTATGGTCATTTTAACAATATTGATTCTTTGATCCATAATTATGGGATTTTTTCCATTTGTATCATCTACATTTTCATCAGCATTTTGTAATTTTCCTTGTAGAGATCTTTCACCTCCTTGATTAAAAGAATTCTTATGTATTTTCTGTAGCTATTGTAAATGAGGTTGAGTTCTTAATTTGGTTCTCAGCTAGATAGCTGCTGGCATTTAGAAATTCTACTGATTTTTGTATGTTGATTTTGTATCTTGAAACTTTACTGAATGTATTTATCAAATCTAAGGAGTCTTTTGGTGGAGTCTTTAGGATTTTCTAGGTATACAATCATATTATCAGCAAATAAAGATAGTTTGATTTCCTCTTTTCCAATTTTGATTGTTTTGTTTCTTTCTCTTGCCTGATTACTCTGACTAGGACTTCCAGTACTATTTTAAATAAAAGTAGTGAAAGTAGGCATCCTTGTCTTGTTTCAGTTCTTACAGAAAATGTTTTCAACATTTTCTCATTCAATATGATGTTGGCTGCAGGTTTGTCATATATGGCTTTTATCATCTTCAGGTATGTTTCTTCCATGCCTACTTTGTTGAGAGTTTTTATCACGAACTCATGCTGAATTTCATCAATTGATTATTCTGCAATTATTGCCATTATCATAGGGGTTTTTAAAATCTGTTTATGTGATGAATCATACTTACTGATTTGCTTATGTTGAGACATCATCCTTCAATCTGTGGAATAAAACCCACTTCATTGTTTTGTAATTTTTTTGATGTGCTGTTGAATTCAGTTTGCTAGTATTTTTACTAGCAACCTGATAATTTAATTTCCTCTTTGGTACCAACTCTTCCTTCTATGTCTGGTAGAATTTGACTGTTAATCCATCCCGTTCTGGATTCGTCTTTTTTATGGGTTTTTTTTTTTTTTTTTTTGCTTTTTTTTTTTTTTTTTGCTTTTTAGGTTTTGGGGTACATGTGAAGAACATGCAAGATTGTTGCATAGGTACACACATGGCAGTGTGATTTGCTGCCTTCCTCCCCTTCACCTATATCTGGCATTTCTCCCCATGCTATCTCTCCACAACTTCCCCCACCCCACCGCTGTCCCTCCCCTATTTCCTCCCAACAGACCCCAGTGTGTGATGCTCCCCTCCCTGTGTCCATGTGTTCTCATTGTTCAACACCCGCGTATGAGTGAGAACATGCAGTGTTTGATTTTCTGTGCTTGTATCAGTTTGCTGAAAATGATGGTTTCCAGATTTGTCCATGTCCCTACAAAGGACATGAACTCATCGTTTTTGATAGCTGCATAATATTCCATGGTGTATATGTGCCACATTTTCCCTGTCCAGTCTATCATTGATGGGCATTTTCGGAGATTTTGTATTCCTTTTTCAGTTTTACTAATCGTTATTAGTCTGTTCAAGTTTTCTATTTCTGTTTCAATCTTGGGAGTTTATATTTCCAGGAACGTATTCATTTTCTTTAGGTTTCTAGTTTGTGAGTGTAAAAATGCTCATAGTTGTTTGTAATGATCTTTTGTATTTCTATGGTACCAACTGTAATGTCTCCTTTTTCATTTCTGATTGCATTGATTTGAATTTTCTCTCTTTTTTGTATTTTTTTAATTATACTTTAAGTTCTGAACATGTACCTCCGAACTTAAAGTATAATTAAAAAAATACAAAGGTAATTAAAAAAATACATACAAATTTATTTATTTGTTACATAGGTATACATGTACCATGGTGGTTTGCTGCATCCATCACCCCATCATCTACATTATTTACTTATTACTAGGTGGAAAAAAATTTTGAAAAGACTATATACTGTATGATTCCAACTAAATGACATCCTGGAGAAGGCAAAACTTTAGAGACATTATAAAACTCAATGGTTTCCAGGCGTGTGGAGGGAAAGAAAGGTGAATAGATAGAGAACAGAGGACTGTTTAGAGCAGTGGAACTATTCTGCATAATACTAAAATGGAAGATACATATGTCATTGTACGTGTTTCAAATCCATAGAACACACAACACCAACAGTGAACCATAATTTAAACTGGTTTGTGGTGATAATTGCATGTCAGTATTGGCCCATAGACTGTGATGAATATACAAATGTACCACTCTGCTGGGAGATTCTGATAGACGAGTAGGCTATGCATGTGGGGCTGGGAGGCGTATATGGGAATTCAGTACTTTCTGCCAAATTTTGCTGTGAACCTAAAATTACTCTAACAAAGTCGATTAAAATGCAGGATTCTGAGCCCTAGAATCTGAATATTTTGTTTTACTAGTTCTGAGATGAGGCCTGAGAATTTGTATTTATAATAAGATTTCCAAGGTATACCTGATACTCAGCCAATCTGGGAAGCCACTAAGCTACAAATACAACTGTATATTTCTTTGGTGTTTGATATTCCAAATCTAAAATATATTTATTTTTATCTTTATCTGTGAGGAAGAAAAATATTTATTTTGGTGGAATAACTGGGTGTAAAACCAAGACTATAGGGTGGTTTCAATGGCTTCCTTCCCAAGGCAGGTATAAAAACTATATTTTTACACTTTTCATATTAGTCAATATTTATATTTTTCATGAAATATAATTTTAATAAGTCATAGCAAGTCAAAAAAGAAGCAACTTAGTAATTGCAATACATGAAACTGTTTAATAAATAATTTCTGGAGTTCTGATATATAGCATGGAGACTATGCTAATAATATTGCATTGTATACTGTCTTTGATAAGAGACTGCATATTAAATTTTATCACAAGAAAAATAAAAAGAGGTAACTATGAAGGTCATAGAAATGTTAATAAACTTGATTATGATCATCATATCACAATGTATATGTATATAAAAACACACTGTACACTATAAATATATACAATTTTTAGCAATTGTCCCTTAATAAATCTACTAAAAAATTTTAAGGAGGATCACTTGAGTCCAGGAGTTCGAGACCAGCCTGGCCAACACAGTGAGAAATGGTTAATCTAAAAAAATACAAAAATAAATTAGGTGGGTGTGGCAGAGTGAGTCTGTGATCCTACCTACTCAGGAGGTTGAGGTGGGAGGATCACTTGAACTCAGGAAGTCAAGGCTGCAGTGAGCTATGATTGTGCCAATACACTCCAGCCTAGATTACACAGTGAGACACTGTTTCAAAAAACAAACAAACAAACAAATCTGCGTAGACCAAAAACTGAATTTGGCTCATTAATGTACATAATTTTGTTGTTAAAATAATGTGATTATTTAAGCAGAAACAAATATTATTGGAAATCTGGGGTCATATGCCTGGAAGTGCAGGGTTGAGCCTCAAAAAGAAGTAATTTGTCCAAATATTATAGTGATTTATTATTTATGGGGCATAAGCTTTTAGTTATTTTTCTAGTAGTGGGAATGATACTGTGTCATTTGTAATAATAGACATAATTTTCCTAAAGAGATTAGGACATCAGAGCCCCGCTGATAAGAAAAAGTTGCACGTAATGACAGTTAACAGGTTACATATGTCAGCAGTGTCTATGAAAATCAGCAAAGCTAATCTAAGTATCCATAGCTCAAATCCTTAATACTAACAGCCCCTGTTATATAATAGAAATGAATTAATTTTACCAATAATCTTCAAAATTTAGCACATAAGGAAATAATTCCTTTTCAACTCTCCTGAATATTGACAAGAAAATAAGTTTTAAATAGAGTAACCAACATCAGGAGGAGAAAAATAAACCTATCAAGTATCAAGTGCTTGAAACCCTGATGCATGTGCATTTATATGACTGTGAAGAGCCAGAGGACAGTGAAAGGTAGCATACAGCTGTTGAGGGAATATAAAATTACATAAATCCTTGCCTTTTTAATAATACACATATGT